GTCTGCCAGTTGTTGATTCTCCACAGTGCTGGGGGATGGTGTCTTGTAATTGGTGATGTCTTTCAGACCTTTCCACACTGAAGCAGGATCACTGGAAAAGAATTGGTTCTTTAGCTTTACAGTATAATTCCTCTTTGCCACTCTGATCTCCTTTTCCAGTGTGTATTTGGCCTGTTTATACAAGAATATGTCCCCATTCCTGCGAGCATCTTCTTTGGCCTGACGGAGCTGTCTGAGGTTTGCAGGGAACCATGGTTTATCGTTGTTGTAGGTTACATGAGTCCTGGTAGGAATGCACATGTCTTCACAGAAACTGATATAAGATGTTACAGTCTCTGTGAACTCGTCCAGATCGGTGGCAGCAGCTTCAAAAACACTCCAATCAGTGAGGTCAAAACAAGCTTGTAAATCCTGCTCTGCTTGATTAGTCCATCTTTTTACAGTCCTTAATACAGGTTTAGCTGATTTCAGTTTCTGCCTGTAGGTTGGTATTAGATGAACTAAACAGTGATCAGAGAGCCCCAAAGCTGACCGTGGGACAGAGCAATATGCATCCTTTATTGTGGTGCAACAGTGATCCAATATATTACTGTCTCTGGTGGGACATGTAACATGCTGTCTGTATTTTGGCAGTTCACGGGAAAGATTTGCTTTATTATAGTCCCCAAGAATGATTAAAAAAGAGTCCGGGTGTTGTTGTTCTGTGTCTGTGATCTGATCAGCGAGTCTCTGTATGTGAGGAATGTAAACACTCACGAGAATGAACGAGCAAAACTCCCGCGGCGAATAGAATGGCTTGCAGTTAACTAAGAGCGCTTCTAGACCGGGACAACACATCTTCTTTAACGCTGTAACATCTGTACACCACCTTTCGTTGATGTAAAAACATGTCCCGCCACTGCCCGATTTCCCCGTTGATTCTGCGTCGCGATCTGCTCTAAACAGCTGAAAGCCGGGCAGATGTAGCGTGCTGTCCGGAATGGCGTCATTCAGCCAGGTTTCCGTGAAACACAGAGCAGCAGAGTTTGAAAAATCCTTGTTTGTCCTGGAGAGCAGAAAAAGTTAGTCCGTTTTGTTGGGTAGAGAGCGGAGATTCGCCTGATGGATCGAAATCCGCGCTGCCTGAACTTCATGAGTGCGTCGGCTCTCTTCCACCATCTGCACGTCCTGAAGTGCTTGATCAGTGCCGCTGCTCCGCCAACTACAACGTTCAGCAAAACGTCTGAATAATCGAAATCCGGTAGAAGATTTTGTGGTGTGTTCTGCCGAATGTTCAACAGTTCATCCCTGGTAAAATTGATCGTGTTTGAGAAACAAAAAACAGGAAAAAACAAACAAAAACAGTACAAACACTGGAGAGCCAAGCACTGAGGCAGCCATGTGCAGCGTCATCTTATTCTTAATACGTATAATACAATAAGTACACTGTAAGAACATGTGCTGTAAAATAAAAGTGTAACCAAAAAATGTTATGTTCGAGAAATTATGATGATATTTGGTCCTTTTTTAAATAAACTCTGAAAGATATCTAAATGATAATCTGTGATTTGTTGTTGTTGACCATTTTGTTCCAGGTGTGTCTGGAGTTTATACAGATGAAACATATGAGATGATATCGGTGATGGAGGGAGATTCTGTCACTTTAAACACTGATGTTACTGAAATACAGAGAGATGATCAGATACTGTGGATGTTTAAACTCCAAAATTCAGAGACTCGTATAGCTGAAATCTATAAACAGATCATCTCTATTTATGATAATAAAGAGAATAATGAGAGATTCAGAGGCAGACTACAGATAGATGAGCAGACAGGATCTCTGACCATCACAAACATAAACAAATTACACTCTGGACTTTATAAACTACAGATCATCAATGGAGGAGTCAAATACAAGAGCTTCAATCTTGCTGTCTATGGTGAGTAAATTGAATAAATCATATAGAAAGGGATTTTTAATACATTTTTAATCTGGTCTGCGCTGATAGCCTTGTGGGAAAGTGCACTGACATATAGCGCCGTTGTGCTACGGGTGTCCCAAGTTTGAATCCTGGCTCAAGGACCTTTCCTGATCCCTCCCCCCTCTCACTCCTGCTTCGTTTCCTGTCTGTTCTCCTCTCTCACTCATCATAAGGCAAAAATGCCAAAAAAAAATCTAAAACAAAAAAAAAGGACTCTGGGCCATCTGGAGATGAATTATATTTAGATCTATGATTGAGGATCTTTGCACACATCTCTTTCAATAATTGATTGTTTTTAAAATGTCCATCTTTCCTTCGTGTTTCTTAGGTCTTCTGACTGTTCCAATGATCATTGATTCTCCTCAAAACCCTTCAGTATCAAAAAGATCATCACAGCAGAATTGTTCACTGCTGTGTTCAGTGTTGAATGTGAGTGATGTGACTCTCTCCTGGTACAAAGGGTGCAGTTTATTGTCCAGCATCAGTGTGTCTGATCTCAGCATCAGTCTCTCTCTACCTCTGGAGATTGAGTGTCTGGATGATTCCTACAGCTGTGTTGTTGCTTATTCATTCACCAACCAGACTAAACACCTCAACATCACTCAGCTCTGTCTGCCATGTTCAGGTATGTCAGCAGTTTGTAGTGTTGAGCTGCTTTGTCTTTAAATGATTTGTAATTTGAGCTCACATTGTCACATATTTGTGCCTGTGATGTATCTTAGCACATCAACTACATTTTACTGTTATGATCTATATTATGATCTGTAAATGATAAACCATGGTAAATGTAAAAAATAAAAATTGAATCAGGAATTTTTTTTTATCCAATTAATTAAATAATTGACAGACTAATCGATTATCAAAATAATTTATAGTTTCATCTTGTATAATATTTACTCAGATCTGCTGTTATTTTATCTTGATTGAAGTCAAGAATGGAGAATAGTTTACAGTAATGACTGATTTTGCTTTATTCATTGCAGATGATCGACCCGTGTCTGTCAAACATCTAATGATTGCTGTTGTAATTCTGCTGCTGCTGCTAGTGATCTCAGTTTTAGCTACGAAGATGTTCTGTCGCAGCAAGAGCCGCAAAGAATCAGCACAAAAAAGTAAGTTCCCTTTCAGTCAGTCATGTTCTACGTTACGTCAGTCGTGACTGACGAATTGGGATCTCGCCCGAGAGCCCAATCACCTTCGAGTGTTAACTAAACAAGCCAGTTGGCGTGCGTGTTTCGCCACGCGCACCCCGCCCCGCAGCGCGGGTATAAAAGGAGAGCGCGTGCAAATGCACATCAGCTTTTCGCTTCGGAGCCGAGCCTTCTCAGGACGAATCTCCGCGAGTGTTTGGAAGAAACAGCTGGCGTTGGTGTTACGGCGCGTCAGCGGGGGTTGCCATTCAGTGCTGCTCATCTTCGGCATGCTGCAGCTGCCATTCTGCGGTCTCGCCGCGACCTCCCCTGGGCGCTTCAGCGTTCTCTCTAAAAGAGTGTTTCCTTTTTTTCCTAAAAGAGGAAATGTCTAAAAGAGCTCCACGAGCGATGGGCGTCTTTTTAAAGATGGCTTCCCGCTCGTGCGTTTCTGGATGCGGTTGTTCCCTGCCTCCATCTGATGGTCATGGTCGCTGCCTCTCGTGCCTGGGCTTACAGCACGCTGAAGCAGCGCTCATGGATGAGTCATGTTCTCAGTGCGGGAACATGACCATCGCGAGACGTTGCGGTCTAGATACCTCCTCATTAAATGGGGG